TATTCCAGGGAACAATAACTTGGTTTGTTTTGATCAGAATACTCAATGGCCTAAAGTTTCATCTTTCCCTATCATTGTCCTTAAAAAATGCAACATCAGCCTAAATATGTTTTTTTTGCCTTAGAGTAGGGCTTCTCTAAGATAAATGTTTATTCAAAATTAAATGGAGAAAAAGAACTTAGGAGATGATAGTGAAATTATAGGTCTTTTAAATTTTTTATTTATCTGTATTTTCTCAGTACATGCTTATTGTTTTTGTAATGAAATGTTTTAAGTGTAGTTATTTATTTTTAATTCTCTATTGTTGAAAATATTACAGGTTTCCCTCTTTTCCCATCATTGACCACTTCCAGCCCACAACTGCTCCCCAAGGCCTTCGTGGCACTATTGTCTGTGTCTATGGGTTATGCATATATACATAAAAATTCTGTGGTTAATTTCCTCCTGTTCCAACTCCCTGATTCCCTCTGAGACTCCTCAGTCATTTCCATGCTTCCATTTCTCTAGATCTATTTTGTTCGTCAGTTTATTTTGTTCATAGTTTTTGGCTCTGTATTTCAACATTTTTTGGATTTAAAAAATTTAACATATTTTACTCAACTAATTTTTATGCCATCGTTTCTTATTAAAGGAAAAGAAGGCTAGGTGAATTGATGAGAACTAAAACATAATTTTACTATTTTAATAATCATTTCAGGTAATTTTAGAGTGGTTCTTTAGTTGCCTTTCTTAAAGTATAAATTCAGTAGGGGTTTTTTAATGTAAAAATTTCCAGATGTTGCCAGTAATAAATAACAGAATGCCAGTAATAATTTTGTCATTGAGCACAATGAAGAGAAATCATCTTTAATTTATATGCATTCTCCCATATAAAGGGTTACATGTATTCTCCTTTCCTTTTCCCTACTGAGTGATAAACATCTTTCTACTTTTCATGTTATCAACCAAAAAAAAAAATAAATAAACACAAAAACTGATTTTGAATGCTGGGGACAACTATTTTCATTTATTTTTGGACAAAATGTGTAATGTATATATGAAACCTGTGATTTTTATTTAAGGCCTTGTGAATGTATCCAAAATCTTTATATAAATTGACACAAATGTTGCTATAAAATACAAATATCTTTCTGGAAAAAAAAAAAAGAAGAATTTTAAACATGTATGATTTAGCTGAGTGTTTTCTGATTGAATCAGGAATATTCAAGATTTATAAAGTATTATAGTATACTAGAGGCCTGATGCATGAAATTCCTGCATGGGTTGTGTGCCCCTCAGCCCAGTCTGCATCTCTTCAATCTGGAACATCCCTCTCACAATCCAGGACTGCTGGCTCCCAACTGCTTGCCTGCCTGCCTGCCTGCCTGATTACCCCTAACTGCTCCTACCTGATCACCCCCTAATTACTCCCCTGCCAGTCTGATCGATGCCTAACTGCTCCCCTGCCAGCTCGATTGCCCCTAACTGCCCTCCTCTGCAGGCCTGGTCACCCCTAACTGTCTTCCCCTGCATAACTGGTTCCCCCCAAAATGCTCTCCCCTACAAGCTTGAGTCTCCCCCGTCTCCTCCCCCCCACCCCCCCCACCCCCCCGCCCGCTACTGCCCTTCACTGAAGGCCTGGTTTCCTCCAAGTTCCCTCCTCTGCCAGCCTATTCACCCCTAACTGCTTTCCCCTGCAGGATTGATCACCCCAACTGCCCTTCCTTGCAGGCCTGGTCCCTCCCAACTGCCCTCCCCTGCTAGCCATCTAGTGGTGGCCATCTTGTGGCCACATGGGGGCAGCCATTTTTGACCACATGGGGGCAGCCATCTTGTGTGTTAGAGTGACAGTTAATTTGCATATCACTCTTTTATTAGATAGGATAGAGGCCTGATGCACAGGTGCAGGCCAGCTGGTTTCCCCTGAAGGGTTTCCCAGATCAGGGTGGGGATTCCCTTGGGGTATGGGGCAGCCTCAGCAAGAGGCCTGTGGTGGTTTGCAGGCCAGCCACGCCCCCTGATAACCCAAGTGGAGGCCCTGTTATCTGGAACTTATTTATCTTCTATAATTGAAACTTTGTAGCCTTGAGCGGAGCCAATCCTCCTGCTCACTCAATAGCCATAGCCATTTTTGTTGGGATTAATTTATCTTCTATTAATGAAACTTTGTAGCTTTGAATGGAGTCCAGGGCCAGCCAGGGTGTATGGGAAGTTTGGCTTCCTCCATTGCCTGGGAAAACCAAGCCTCCTGCTGTCTATGTGGCTGCAGCCATCTTGGTTGGATTAATTTGCATACTTCCTCCTGATTGGCTGTTAGGCGTGTTTTGTGAGTGTAGCAGAGGTATGGTCAATTTTAAAATTACTCTTTTATTAGATAGGATAGTAAGTCTCTAATAAACACTTATAAGCTCTATAATTTATTCCAAAGCCTTGATAAAATTATTTTAACTAATTTATACTGTTTTCAAATATTGACTGAAAATATTGGATCATATTATTTATTACTACCACAATCCCCATCCATTCTTACAATTTTCCTAAGGAAGAAAATTGTGTGAGCCTCAATGAGAGTTTGAGTTACCACCATTGCCAAGCTTCAAGAGATGGTGTGGCAGAAGTGAGATAGACATTTTTTTTTCTGTGTTTAAATCATTTATTTATTTATTTATTTATTTATTTATTTATTATCTAAAGTTTTACATATGTGTCCCTTTTCCCTGATTGACCTCTCCCAAGCCATTCCTACCCCAGGTTTTTGTTTGTTTGTTTGTTTTTGCTAAGAGGATGATGATTTTTCTGATTCTGTCTAAAAAATGGCAAAGGTGATTGCAGCTGAGAGAAAATGTGAGTGGCATCTCACTAGGGATGATGTGACTATCCTCTATTATAGAATTCTGCACATTTTTAGTCATTCCATTGTCAAGTAGTTCAGGTGTAATGTGGGAGGTACATTTAGCTTCTCCACATTGTTGTAGTAATGTATCACAGCAAATTGTTTAAAAGAGCCTGGGTTGAAAGTTAGGTTAGAATTTAGAACTGGGGGTAAAGAGAAAATGCTCAGATAATTTATCCTGGCCACAAAAGGTTTAGGAGTTAGAATGAGACTTTAGCATTTTTGTGTCTTGTAGTAGTAGGACAAATTCTTCCCTTTTTATGGCAGTAACAACCCTCCCCCCCCACACACACACCTCTCTGCAAATAGCTAGTTCTAAAGTTACTATTGTACTATAGTGTAATGGTGTAGTTTAGAGCATGAACATTTAAATTAGGATTGGTTTAAGTTAAGACTCTTCCAATTAAGGTAATATTATTATTCTAAAGTGTCTTAATACATAACACATTAAGTGTTCAATATACGAGAGCTGTGATTTTACACATGATCTATATTCTCTTTCAGTACAGTTTAGTGAAATCTGATTGTCTTTTCTTAAGCACAGTAATTTGTTTTCCCTTTTGATCAGCTTTCTTCCTCTCTGGTCTTTATTATAAAGTAGAAAGATGACTTAAACACACTTTTTTGTTTGTTTCTACAGGCATTGGCTAGATATTATGTCAGTTAAGTATACATATACTAATACTTGATATATTGTAAAACAGATATAATTCCTTAAATAGTGTTGTATGACTAGAGTTAAAATGGTCCAAAAGAGAGATAGGAAAATTGGGTAGTCGGAGTTATAGAGAAAATTAAAACTAATGTCTAAACAAGAAAGTTGGTTTATTTTTAGACATCGAGAAAAACTGTTAAAACTACTCTGCCCACTTTGCTTTTCTAGAAACTTCTTAATGTTTTAAAACAATAAATTATTTTGTTGAAATTAAATATTTAGATAATTGCAGTATAGATATATATGTCTGTATGTATATATATATATATATATATATATATATATGTGTGTGTGTGTGTGTGTGTTTGTTATTCCTAAACAAATTTTGTAGTTTCTTCACACCCAAAGGAAATTTTAATAAATACTTCAAATATTTTAGGAAATACAGCATGCGATTTAGTAAATTTAAGTGAATAAGTGAATAACTTAGCTATTCCAACAATGTTTTGCCTCCGCATTCCTTGGCACAAACTGGGACCTCAGTGAAATGTTCCTCATGGGAGTTGCCTGTGATATCTTACTGAAGGGGATCAAGTCCTAATTCGGGCTCCCCTCCCTTCTGTTTTATTAAAATCAACTTTATTACAGTATAATTTGCATACAGTAAACTGAATCCATTTTATGTATATAGTTTAATGAGTTTTGACAAATGTATATACCCCCAACAAGATATTAAATAGTTTTAGTATCCCCAAAATTTCATGTGTGTCCCTTTCCGTGTCCCTGTATCCTGGAAACCATTGATCTGCTATCTTTTCTATGAACATTTGTGTACAAGTCATTTTGTACTCATAATAGTCATTTCTTTTGGGAAAGTTCAAAGGAATGGAGTGTATAATGTATTTAACTTTATAAGAAACAGCCAAAATATTTGTCAAAGTGATAGAACTATTTTACATTCCTACAGCAGTGTAATGGATCTTTTTAATTATAGCTATACTAGAGGTCCAGTGCATGAAAAGTGTGCATGTGTAGGGTCTCTAGCTTGGCCATTGATCAGGCCAATCAGGGCCTTCTGGCTACTGGCCTGTGCCTTCCTTCCCCTAGCTGCTGGCCTCTGTCTGGAGCCTTCCTTCATTTTGGCTGCCCCCCTCGTGGTCAGCACACATCATAACAAGCTATTGAACTCCTGGTCTCCCAGTCCAACTCCTGAGGGGACAATTTGCCTATTATCTACCTAATAAAGGAGTAGCATGCTAATCGACCATACCTTCACGACACCCACCAGCAAATCAGGAGTGAGTATGCAAATTAGCCCAAGAAGGTTGGCAGAGTAATTTGCATATGCCGGTGCCTAGCAGCCAGGGGTGGGGTGGGACACTTGCTTTGTTGCCATGGCGACAACACTGGCATTCTGCATCACCTCAGCCGCTCTGGGCAGCATGGGAAGGCAGAAAGGAGGCTCTTGACTGACCAAAGTCAGTGCTGGCAGCCAGGGAGAGGAAGGCCCATTCCTGCATGAGTCTTCATCCATTGGGCTTCTAATATATAAACCTGTATATTAGTATTGATAGATATGAAGTGGTATCTTATTTTATTTGCACTTTCCTAATGCTTACCATATGCTCATGTAGTCATTGTCCATTCATATATCTTATTTTGTATAGTGTCCCCTCTAATATTTCTGTATTTTTTATAAATTTCATTGCTTATTTTCTTAAACTAGAGGCGCAGTGCACGAATTTGTGCATGGGTAGGGTCTCTTGGGGTGGCCTGTGGAGATTGGGCCCCAGCTCATGCCACCACCCATGAAGGCCATTTCTCACCTCCAGCCTTATAGCCCCTCAGCCCCACCTGGCACCCCTCACCTGCTCCACCATCCCTCCTTTGGGGTGATCGATTGGGACCATGCCCTCCACTCAGCTCCCTCAGCACCTGGGAGCTGGGTAGCAGCCCCGGCCCCCATCACTGCTGCTGGTTGCTCTCTGTGGGGCAATTGGCAGGGTAATCAGACCCCTGGTCACACCCACCTTGGCCTGGCGCCACCCACTCACCTGCTCCAGCATTCTGCCATGATCCCACTCTTGTCTGGGCCCATCAGGGCTGGCAGTGCCTCCACCTCTGCCCTTTGCCAGTACTGCATCGCAGCTGATGCCCACCATGTTCCATGCTGCCCCTAGTGGTGAGTGCACATCATAGAGACCAGTCGAATTCCCAGTGTCCAGGTTGAAAGACCGCCCGAGGGGACAATTTATATATTAGGCTTTTATTATTTAGGATTTAAAGAGTTCTTTTTATATTCTGAATGCGAACTACTTTGTTACATACATACACACACACACACACACACACACACACACACACACACCTTTTGGTGGGTTGCATTTTCTTTTCCTTAACAGTATATTTTAATTAGCAGTGTTTTAAATTTTTATAAAGTCCAATATATCATCTTATTATTATTTCTTTTTCTGTCATGTGTAAGAAACCTTTCAGTACACTACAATTTTAAATTTTGCCTATTCTATATATTTGGTGCTTTTAGCTTTTGAACCCGTTAGTATTATTTGTGTGTGCAGTGTAAGTTAAGGATTCTGCTTCAACTCTTAAAATTTATTAAGTGAAATTAACATACCATAAATGTAAGCATTTAACATGAGCAGTTCAGTGACATTTAGTCCATATACTTTGTGTGCAACCATCACTAGATAGTATCAAATATTTTTATTACTCCAAAATAAAACTTCATACCCAATGAATAGTTTCTGCTATTTCTACCCTATCAGAAGCCCCTGGAAACCACCCATTTGTATTCTGCCTCTATGGACTTACCTATTCTGAATATTTCATATAAATGTATTCCTATAGTATGTGATATTTCTAGTCTGGTTTCTTTCACTTAGTGTAATGTTTTTGAGGTTCATATAACATATGGTGTATCAGTACTTAACTTTTTATAGTGGGATCATATTGCATTGTATGAATATACCATATTTGTTTATGAATATAAATATGAGTATAAATATATTTATCCATTCATTTATTGATGAGCATTTTGGCTGTTTACACTTTAGCAATTATAAATAATGCTGCTATGAACATGTGTGTATATATTTTAGTTTAAATACCTGTTTTCAATACTTTGAAGATAATTACTAAAGTGTAGAGTTACTGGCCATATGGTAATTCTATCTTTAAATTTTTGAGGAACCAAGAAACGTTTTTTCACAGTGTCTGAAGTATTTTACAGTCCTCCTAGCAATGCATGACCATTCTAATTTGTCCACATCCTTTCAATACTTGTAATTTTCTGTATAATTATTTTTATCATCCTGGTTTGTTAATGAAGTGATTTTTCATTGTGGCTTTTATTTGAAATTTCTTAATGATTGATGATTTGTTCATGTATCTTTAAATTTTTTAAATTGTAGTTGACTTTCAATAATATTTTGTATTAGGTGTACAGCATAGTGGTTAGACAACCATATACTTTACAAAGGGTTTCCCAACTGACACAATATGTAGTTATTACCATATTATTGACTCTATTTTCTATGCTGTACCTCATATCCCCATAACTATTTTGTAACTACCAAGCTGTACTTCTCAATATCTTCATCTCAATCTCTCCTCCCAATTCCCCCCAGACCCCTCCCCTCTGGCAATTATCATTCTGTTCTATGTATCTATGATTCTGTTTCTGTTTTGTTTGTTCATTTTATTCTTTAGTTTCCACACATAAGTGAAATTATGTGGTATTTGTCTTTGTAAGACATATACACTAAATGGCCAGATTATTATGATCTCTGAACGCATAATAGCCTGGCCACTGAGTGTATATCCTATATAATAAAAGGCTAATATGCAAATTGTCACCTTGACCAGGAGTTCGACCAGCAGGCAGGCCGGTGAACCACCCATGTCCCCTCCCCTTGGCCAGGCTTGCTGGACCCCACCCATGCACAAATTCATGCACCCGGCCTCAAATACACACACACACACACACACACACACACACACACACACACATACACACACACACACACACACACTGAGTGGCCAGATTATTATGAGTTCAGAGATAATAATAATCTGGCCACTCAGTGTATGTCTCTTTTTCCCCCTATTGACCTCTCTCTGGCCTCTCCTACCCCCCAGCACATGCCCTCACCCCCCACCCCTAGTGTCTGTGTCTATTAGCTATCTTTATTTGCACACATACAAATTCTTTGGTTGATCACTTATCCCTCCCGAACCGTCCACTGCCTTCCCACTGTATTTTAGTTTGACATACTGTTAGATGCTTCTGTCTCTGTATCGACTTTTTCATCAGTTTATGATGTTAATTATATTCCACAAATGAGTGGGATCATGTGATATTTATCTTTCTCTTAATAGCAAATTTCACTTAGCATAATTCTCAGTTCCATCCATGCTGTTGCAAATGGTAAGAATTCCATCTTTTTTATAACAGTGTAGTATTCCAATGTGTAGATATACCACAGTTTTTTAATCCACTCATCTGCTAATGGGCATTTTTACTGTTTCCAAGTCTTAGCTATGGTGAATTGTGCCACTATGAACATAGGAGTGCATATATCCTTTCTGATTGGTTTTTCTGATTTCTTGGGATATATTCCTAGAAGTGGGATTACTAGCAGTTCCATTTTTTGAGGAGACAACACACTGTTTTCCACAGTGGCTGCACCAGTTTGCATTTCCACCAGCAGTGAAGCAGGGTTCTTTTTTTTCTCCATCCTCTCCAGCACTTGTCATTTGTTGATAATAGCCATTCTGACAGGTGTGAGATGGTATCTCATTGCTGTTTTGATTTGCATCTCACACTTTGAGCATGTTTCATATATCTGTCCACCTTCTGTTTCTTTAGGTCATTTGCTCATTTTTTATTAGATGTTTATCTTTTTTGTTGTTAAGTTGTATGAGTTCCCTGTAAATTTTGGAGATTAAATCCTTATTGGGGATAACATTGGCAAATATTTTCTCCCATGCAATGGGTTTTCTTATTGTTTTGTTAATGGTTTCTTTTGCTGTGCAGAAGCTTTTTATTTTGATGTAGTCTCATTTATTTATTTTCTCCTTAGTATCCATTGCCCTAGGACCCTAGTCAGCAAACTGCGTCTCCTCAGCCACATGCAGCTCTTTGGCCCCTTGAGTGTGCCTCTTCCACAAAATACCATAGCCTGAGCAAGTCTATTTTGAAGAAGTGGCGTTAGGAGAAGTTTAAGTTTTAAAAATTTGGCTCTCAAAAGAAAATTCAATTATTGTACTGTTGATATTTGGCTCTGTTGACTAATGAGTTTGTCGACTACTGCTCTAGGAGTTGTCAGTAAAGATATTGCTATGACAAATGTCTGCTATTTTGCTGCCTATGGCTTCTTCCAATATTTTTATTGTTTCCAATCTTACATTTAAGTTCTTTATCCATTTTGGGTTAATTTTTGTGTATGGTATAAATTGGTGATCTAGTTTCTTTTCTTTTTTTTTTTTTTTTTTTTTTTTTTTTTTTTTGCATGTATCTGTTCAATTTTCCTAACACCATTTATTGAAGAGACTATCTTGACTCCATTGTATGGTCTTGCCTTCTTTTTCAAATATTAATTGAGCATAATGGCTTGAGTTGATTTCTGGGTTCTCTTGTCTGTTCCATTGTTCTATATGTCTGTTATTGTGCCAGTGCTAGGCAGTTTTGAGAACAGTGGCTTTGTAGTATAGCTTGATATCTGGTATTGTGATCCCTCTAACTTTGTTCTTCTTTCTCAAGATTGCTGCAGCTATTTGGGTCTTTTTTTTTTTTTCCAGATGAATTTTTGGAGAGTTTGTTCTAGATCTTTGAAGTGTGCAATTGGTATTTTAATGGGGTTTTCATTGGATTTATAGATTGCTTTGGGCAGCACAGCCATTTTAATGATGTTGATTCTACCAATCCATGAACATGGTGAATTATTCCATTTGTTTATGTCCTCCTCTATCTCTTTTCTCTGCATCCTGTAATTTTCTGAGGAAAGGTCTTTTAACTCCTTGGTTAAATTTATTCCTAGGCATTTTAATTTTTTGTTGTTGTTGCAATGATAAATTGGAATTTTAAAATCTATATATATATATTGATTTTTTACAAAGAGGAAGGGAGAGAGATAGAGAATTAGAAACATTGATGATAGAAAACATCTATCAGCTGCCTCCTGCACACCCCCCACTGGGGATGTGCCCGAAACTAAGGTACATGCCTTTGACCAGAATTGAACCTGGGACCTTTCAGTCTGCAGGCTGATGTTCTACCACTGAGCTAAACTGGTTTCAGCAAGCTGGATTTTGTCAGCTGCTTTTTCTGCATCAATAGATATGACTATTTATATTTTTTTATCTTTTAATTTGTTTATGTGGTGTATCATGTTTATTGACTTGAAGATATTATACCATACTTGAATCCCGGGAATAAATCCCACTTGGCTACTGTGTATGATTTTTTTATGTAGTGCTATATCTGATTTCCTAGAATTTTATTGAGAATGTTGGCACCTATGTTCATGAGGGATACTGGCCTGTAATTATTTTTCTTTGTATTGTCTTTATCTGTTTTGGCGATTAGGGTAATGCTGACTTTGAAGAAAGAGCTTGGAAGTGTTCCTTCCTCCTGATTTTTTTTGAATACTCTGAGGAAGATAGGTTTTACTTATTCTTTGAATATTTGATAAAATTCCCCTGTGAAGCCATCTGGTCCAGGACTTTTTTAAAATTTTTATTACTGCTTCAATTACCTCCATAGTTATAAGCCTATTCAGATTTTTTTAATTCTTCCTGGTTGAGTTTTGGAATTTTATCTTTTTCTAAAAATATGTCCATTTTGTCAAGGTTAGCAAGTTTGTTGGAATAGGGTTGCTCATTGTATTTTTTTTATTTTATGATTCTTCATATTTCTATGGGGTCTGTTGTTATTTCGCCTCTTTCATTTCTGATTTTATTTATTTGGGTCCTCTCTATTTGCCTTTTGGTGAGCCAGTCTAGAGGTTCATCAGTCTTGTTTATCTTTTCAAAGAAACAGCTCTTTGTTTCATTGATATTTTTCTTGTTTGTTTGTTTGTTTTGTTTTGTGTTGTTTTTTTTCTCTATGTCATTTATTTCTGCGCTGATCTTTATTATCTTCTTCCTTCTGCTCACTCTTGGATTTTCTTGTTGCTCTCTTTTTAATTCTTCAAGTTGCAGAATTAGATGATTTAGTACCAGTCTTCCTTCCTTCCTTCCTTCCTTCCTTCCTTCCTTCCTTCCTTCCTTCCTTCCTTCCTTCCTTCCTTCCTTTCTTTCTTTCTTTCTTTCTTTCTTTCTTTCTTTCTTTCTTTCTTTCTTTCTTTCTTTCTTTCTTTTTTAATAGGCCTGTAATGTTATGAATGTTATGAATTTCCCTCTCAGGACTACTTTCACTGTGTCCCATAAATTTTGGGTTGTTCTCATTTGTTTCCAGGATTTTTAAAAATTTCTTCTTTGATCTCTTTGGTAACCCAATTATTGTTTAATAGTATGCTATTCAGCCTTTAAGTGTTTGAAATTTTTTATTTCATAGAGAAAGGGAGAGGGAGAGAGTGATAGAAGCATCAATGATGAGAGAATCATTGATCAGCTGCCTTTTGCATACACTAGGGATCCAGCCTGCAGCCCAGGCATGTGCCCTTGACCAGAATTGAACCTGAGACCCTTTAGTCTCCAGGCAGATGCTCTATCCACTGTGCTAAACAGGCTAGGGCTAAGTGTTTTAATTTTTATGATTTTTTTTATTGTAGTTGATTTCTAATTTTATGCCGTTGTGATCTGAGAAGATGCTTGATATGATTTCAATCTTCTTAAATTTAGAGAGACTTTGCCTGTGGCCCAATATGTGGTCTATCTTTGAAAACGTCCCATGTGTGCTTGAGAAGAATGTATATTCTGTAGCTTTGGGGTGGAATGTTCTAAAGATGATGATTAAATCCATACAGTCTAGTGAGTTGTTTAAGATTGCTGTTTCTTTGCTGATTTTTTTTGTCTAGAGGATTTATCCAGTGATGTTAATGGGGTACTATGATTGTATTGCTGTCAGTCTCTCCCCTGATATCTTCCAGAAGTTTTTTTTTTTTTTTTTTTTTAATATATTTGGTTGCTCCCACATTGGGTGCATATATGTTTACCAGAGTTATCCTCTTATTGTATCGGTCCCTTTAGAATTATGAAGTGGCCTTTCTTGTCTCTTGTCACTTTGAGGTCTATTTTGTCAGATACAAATATTGCTACCCTAGCTTTTTTTTTTTTCATTTTCATTTGCCTGAAATATATTTCCCATCCCTTGACTTTCAATCTATGAGAGTGCCTTGTTCTGAGGTGGGTCTCTTGTATACAGTATATATATGGGTCATGTTTTCTTATCCATTCATTCACTTGATATCTTTTGATTGGAGCATTTAATCCATTTACATTTAATGTTATTATTGATTGGTACTTGTTTGTAGCTATTTCTGTTCTTTATGCCCGTGTTCTTTCCTCCCTTTCTATTTCTTCATTTTACAGCTCTCCCTTAACATTTCTTGCATTGCGGGCTTGGTAGTGATAAACTCCATTAGCTTTTTTTTTTTTTTTTTTTTTTTTTGTCTGGGAAGCTCCTGATTTTGCCTTCAATTTTGATTTATAGCCTATTACTGAATTACTGAATATCAAATTAAAGAATAAAAGAAGCTCCCTTATCAAATACTAGAGTAGGGGTGTCGAACTCAATCAGAGAAGGGGCCAAAATCTAAAATCCAGCCTAAATCACGGGCCGAATGGTTTACTGAACAGTCATAAACTGCCATTGTGATGGAAACGCAGCGGAGTGCAGTGATGACAGCGCGGTGCGGGCCACATTGCAAGGCCTGGCGGGACGGATTTGGCCCGCGGGCCTTGTGTTTGACACATGTGTACTAGAGGGTTAAATATAAGAATAAGTAACCAAGAATTTGACACTCTCAAAGGAAGAATCCTTACTGATGACACTTAGCAAAATGGTAGGTTGAGATTTGCCCATTGGGTCTATAAGGAAGACTCAAATGTCTCAGCAAACCCCAAATGCTGATCAGATTGGTGCTTGCTAATAACACCTATCAGTTATTACATGAATTATCAGACAAGAACTAAGAAAAGTGTCATAACTCAAATGCCTGTCACAAATAACTCTGCTTTGCTGGGACTCTCATGTACAGTAATTTTCAAACATTGTGGCAAGACACCAATGCTTATTTAGCTAATTAGACAACACAAATGCATTTATTTCAAATTTCAAGGGGGTAAAAAAGGTTAAGATATGGATGTTTTATGCATGCTCAGGGCCAACTTAAAAATACTCCATTCAGTGACATCATAACACAAATTTGCATCAATGAAAAGAAACTGGCATAATCCACTTCTTACCATTCAATTTGTCAGATGGTGAAGACCAAAACAGAATATTTCACTAGTTTTAATTTTTAAATATGGTTGTCACATTGGGAAATTGAAGTAAACACAGTAAAATAAACTGTACAAAGCAAAGTAGAATAACAAAAAAATATTTTACTATAATATAAGATTTACAAAATTTCCAGATAAGCCATACAAAATTGACACAAGCTTTTCTTGAAGGGGTCTGTACATTTGACAGCAAAGTCACGATGTTACGTATGAGGGCCATGGTGTGTGTTTAATGTTCTCATTTTGGTTCAAACAATTATGCTTGTCCACTTACAGCATCTAAATAAAGTCATAGTTGGCTAGAGAGCATATTCTAAAGAGATTGTTAGCTGCTTTTACCAATGCAATTAGATCACCATAAAAAGGGAGAAAGGAGCCCTTAAAATTAAAATTAATCTAGTTACTCCCTCAAAAAAACAAAAAACAAAAAACAAAAAACAAAAAACAAAAAACAAAAAACCACCTACACCCCTGCAGCTAACCCTGACAACTACCTTTATACACAGTGCATTATACTTAAACCATGTTGGGGGAAATGAATAAAAGCAAAGATGGATCACTGCTTTCAAATGTTTTACAACAGTCCAGATGGTACTCCTAGCCTCTGCTCATGCTTTATAACAGTGAATCAGGACAAGACATAGATTTGCTAATGTGCATTTAACCACTAAAGGACTGAAGATGTCTGAGCTTTTGTTCTGTAACTAGTGGCCTGGTGCATGAAATTCATATATGGCAGGCTGGGGGTTGTCCCTCAGCCCAGCCTGCACCATCTCCAATCTGGGACCATTCAGTGGATGTCCAACTGCTGATTTAGGCCCGATTACACAGGGATCCCTGTGAGATTGGGCCTAAACTGGCAGTCGGACATTCCTTTCACAATCCAAGACTGCTGGCTCCTAACCTTTCACCTGCCTGCCTGCCTGATCTTTCCTAACCACACTGCCTGCAGTCCTGATCACCTCCAGCTTCCCCCCCCACTGGCCTGCTTGCCCCCAACTGCTTCCTTGACAGCCTACTCATCCCCAACTGTCCCCCTGCTTGCTTGCTCCCCCCTAACTGACCCCCATGTCAGCCTGATCACCCCTAATTGTTCCCCCTGCTTCCTGATCAACCCAAACATACCCTCCCTGCTGGCCTAATTGCCCTACCTGCCCCTCCCTGCTGTCCTGATCACTCCCAACTGCCCCCTGCCAGCCTGCTCACCCCTAGCTGCCCCCCTCTGCCAGCCTGCTCACACCTAACCACCTCTGTCTCAGCTCTGCCATCATGGCTTTGTCTGGAAGGATGTCCAGAAGGTCTCCTGGTCTAATTAGCATATTACCCTTTTATTAACATAGATGTTTCTAAGTCTGTGTCCATTAACTGCAAACAAAAAAGGAAGAAGTCTTGGTAGAACAGGAGAAATGATGCACACTTGATGATAAGATTGATTTAAATATTATTTGTGGCATATAGCATAGTCGATGTTCTAGCTGTTTCTATGGCTTGGGCTTCATCGGTCTTCCATTGTTCTGCTACATCATTTGCTAATGGGTCATCCGGATTGGGAGCAGTTAACAAAGCCTGGATAGATAGCAGAACTGTGTGAACTGGCAGTGCTGGGGACCACTTATTTTTCAAAATATCTAAACATTTTCTTCCCAACTTATCTACATTAGGATGATAAATTTTGGTTATGAAACATACTTTAGGTGCTGCCATTGGGTATTCTTCTGGAAGGAATAGTTCAAATTTAAAAGTCACATCCTCAAAGGGGAAATCCTGAGGGCTAGCAATGACCACATGAAAATAATGGCGTTGCTCTCATCTGGTTCTGCTTTAATGCCGAGAACTGGTTCTGCCAGCAAATGCATATTAGCTCTTTATTATATAGGATATGTGTACATATCTTTCCCACCCTCTCCCGTACATGCCCTCCCCCAGGACAGCAGGGAGGGGCAGGTAGGGCAATTAGGCCAGCAGGGAGGGTATGTTTGGGTTGATAATCCTACAGGGCAGCCCAGCCATTTTGTCAGATCCCAAGTTTGGCCTGTGGTCTAGTATCCTGCTCTGCTTGCCTCACGTATGAATTTGCAGTGATTGTTTTAGTCATATAAGAGCTTGGTCATGTTTCTCTCCTTAGGGATGTGGTTCAGGGACTAAATTTTTAGTAATTTTATTGAGCAGCAAAGCTAATAGAGGAAAATTAGGAACCTGTAGTCTGCAATAACCAGCCAAGCCTAGAAATCTACAATACAAAGCTGCCACTTAATTGTGTGTGTAGGAAATTCCTGGATTACCTTAATTACTTTTGGAGACTGCTGAATTTCTTCAGAAATTAGATCATGTCCTAGGTAATGAACAGTATCTAAAGGTAATTGTAATTTTTCCTTAGAGAATTGTTTCCTTTTCCAGATATCAGTTGAAGTCAATAAACGGAATCTTTTATGAACACCTCTTTGGTAACTGAGCCCAATTGTAAAAAGGATTATTACCCCTGGAGAATTTGAGGGTGCTTAAATCTTGGTGAAGTACTTGGGAGAAATAAGAAGGGACCTCAGGGAACTTTTGCATAACTGCCCAGGTATACTGTAAATTGTTAATGTAGCCAATGATAAGAGTGACATATTTTTAGATCTCTACATCTCCAAGCAAAAAACTCCATTTAATGTTGAGTTCTAGTTATTTTTTTGCAATTATATTTTATTTATTTATTTATTTATTTATTTATTTATTTTTAATTAAGATATTATATGTGTACATATCTTTCCCACCCTATTCCGTACATGCCCTCCCCCCAGAGTTTTTCATCCATTGATTTTGATTATATGCATGCATACAAGTCCTTTGGTTGATCTCTTATCTTCCCCATATCTCCCTATCCTCCCTGCTGTAATTTGACAGTCTGTTTGTTGATTTACTGTCTCTGTATCTATCTTTTTGTTCATCAGTTTATGATGTTTTTTATTATCCATAAATGAGTGAGGTCATGTGGTGTTTCTTAGTTATTCTTTATATATGTGGATACCAATCTTTTCTATCCTATATAATAAAAGCTTAATACGCTAAGAGTCCAGTCAGCTGTTCAACTAAGGTGTAATATGCTAATGATATGCTTAGTTCATTCGACTGCTCACTATAACATGCATGAGCATCAGGGGGCAGACAGGTGACTGGTTGACCAGTCGCTATGGCATTCACTGACCACCAGGGGGCAGATAGTCAGCTGGTTGAGCAGTCATTATGATGTGCACTGACCACCAGGGTACAGATGCTCTGACCAGTAGGTTAGCTTGCTGCTGGGATCTAGCAGATCAGGTCCGAGTGAGATGGGCTGGACATGCCCTGAAGCCTTCCCTCAGTTCCTCCCCAGCTGGCCAGCCTCCTGCATCATTCCACAGCCCAAATCATGCACTGGTGAGGTTCCTCGGCCTGGCTTGTTCCTCCTCACAATCCAGGATTCCTCATTGATGCTGTGCTCGTGAGCCATGAGCCTGGCTTCTGGCTAAGCAGCACACCCCTTGTGGGAGTGCACTGACCACCAGGGGGCAATTCCTGCATTGAGCCTCTGCCCCCTGGTGGTCAGTGTGTGTCATAGTGATGGGTCATTTGCATATTAGCTCTTTATTATATAGGATATTATAAAATTCACTTATTGAGATTCCATAGTTGTTTTGAAGATGACTTGGAATTTTCTACATTTAACAATCACACCATGTATATAATAAAAGCTAAGTGACCTTTACAGCAGAATGACCAGAACGGCCAGTCACTATGATGCACACTGACCACCAGGGGGCAAACACTCAATTCTCAGAAGCTGCCCCCTGGTGGTCAGTGCACTCCCACAGGGGGAGTGCTGTTCATGGCTGGTGAGCATAGCAGTGGTGGCAGGAGCCTCTCCCACCTCTGTGGCAGTGCTAAGGAGCAGCAAACAGGTGGGCAGAGGGGTCCAAGACTGTGGGAGGGATGTACGACTGCTGGCAGGTGGACATTCCCCAAGTGGTCCTGGACTGTGAGAGGACACAGGCTGGGCTGATGGACACCCCCCTCCCCTGCCCCCCATGCATGAATTTCGTGCTCTGGGCCTTTAGTCTTCAAATAAAATAATTTTATATTTCCCTTTCCAATCATTTTACCTTTTTTTGTTAATTCTCACTAGAGGATATTTTTTCCATTGCTTTTCAGAGAGAGTGGAAGGGAAGGAGGAGAAAGGGAAGGAATAAAGAAAAGAGAGTAGAGAGAGAGAAATGGGGTGGGCGAGAGAGGGATTTGAGAGAGACACATTGACCTTGGTTACCTCCTGTACTTGCCCTGGCCGGGGGAACCCAGGGAGCAAACCTGCAAACCATGTGCCCTTAATCAGGAATCAAATCTGAAGCCTGCTGGTGTGCTGGCAGAACCTCTAACCACTAAGCTCACCAGTCAGGGCTCATTTTACCTTCTTTTCTTATGCAATGTTTAGGCACAATGGCAGTGTTGAATAGAAACAATGAGGGAAATTTTATGTCTGTCCCCATTTATTGGGAGAAAATTCTCCAGTGTTTCATTATTAAGTATAATGAATGCAAAATTTTCAGTGCAAATTATTATGTTGAGAAAATTCCCTTGTACTTTTAGTTTGCAGACCATTTTTTTAAAACATACATTTTTATTGATTTCAGAAAGGAAGGGAAAGGGAGAAATAGAAATATCAATGATGAAAGAGAATCATTGCCCCCTACTGGGGATTGAATCAGAAACCAGATTATGTGCCCTGACTGGGAATGGAACTGTGACCTCCTGGTTTATGGGTTGAGGCTCAACCACTGAGCCATGCCAACTAGGCTGGCGACTGTTTTTATTATGAATGATGTTGAATTTTGTCCAATGAACATATAATTTTATGTAACAGATTCCTTTAATATGTTAATGAATAGTATTTTATTTATTTTTCATTGTTAAACCAATGTTGCATTTTCCAAATTAACCACCACTATTTGACCAATGTGTAATATTGTACATACACACACATACACACATATACACAATGTAGTCAGTTTGGTAATATTATATTAAATATTATTTAATATATTAAATATTTTTACATCTTTGTTCTTAAGGGATTTTTTTGCACAGTAGTCCCCCTTAATTTATGAGTGA